TGTGAAGTTCAGCGTATAGGTCAAGGGGTCGTAGCGACCGATCTCGTTGATGCCACGCCTCTCCTCGGCCCCCCAGCGAACCGTTACATTCCTGTTGATGATTATAATCAGGTGTCTTCAGTTATTTACTGATGCCAGGTCGCGTTGTTCACTGATTCCAATGCCCAGGATGGGTGTCATTATGGTTGGAGTGCTTGACCTCCAATCGGGGTTATGTGAGTTCAACTCCTGTTTGGGGAACGGCTCAAAACAGCATTGCTCCCGGAGTCGATGGAACAATTGTTTGTTAGTGGTATACAAAAAAAGCTACCGCTATTCTAACGTGGAATTTCCACCTCTTTTTCTCGGCCATAATTGATCAATGAGTCTGCACCAATGAAAATATTGCGGAAGCATATTTGTGTAATTCTTTATTCTTTTTCGCTTCATAGAGGCTTGATTAAAAAAACATTCCACTGATTCTAAAATTCCGTATGCGTACACTTTGTATGATTAATTACACTATCCACGTTCTATATTATATTTTCATAATCATGAGCGTGCTGGGGTGTTTTTCTCATTTATATTTGTCAAGTATACATATATAAATCAATAAAAAGTATTTAAATTACTTAACACAGTACTTTTGTTAATCGAAAGGCTTCAATGTCCCTTTGTTCACCGTTGTTATGAATGCGCGAACTTTCGTCTCCTACAGCTGAACTATAACCAGCTCAAGTCTCTCCCGCCCAGGGTGTTTGACAGTCTGACTAAACTCACCGAGCTACAACTGCACACCATTCAGCTGCAGGACGCGCGGCGTTTCAACCTCCCCACGGGTTTTCCCCACGCCCGGAGCCCCTGCGGTCGGAGCTGTCGGGTGAAAAATCAATAACCTCCCCACTAACTCCCTTCCATACTCTTTGGTTCTTTCGGTAAAGTGACGTAGGTAAAAAATAAAATAAAAAATAAATCAAAAAATGAAAACAACTAAATCATTTTTTATTACATTTTTTACCTACGTGACTTTACCGAAAGAACCAAAGAGTATGGATCCTTGCAGTCACGAAACTGCAAATCTAGAATTAACTCCCTTCCCCCGTTCAACACAGCTCACCACGGCCAACGCCATCCCATTTCCACATTCACCACCTTCCTTTCCGTTCACGCTGTACACACCTGATGATTGCGAAAGGCGTCCCAAGTGACGTAGTGAGGCGCCCATTTGAATTGGAATAGTAATTTGTGTGTGTCCCACGTGAACGTAGAGAGCGGTGATTCACATGAGTGTGCGTGTGTCTGTGTGTGTCTGTCTGTCTGTGTGCGGTAGTGTAGTGGTTAGCGCCCTGTGCTACGAACCCGGCGACCCGAGTTCGATTTCCGCTCACGGTCGACACAAGTGACGATTATCTGAATCGGACCTGGGCTTCCCCTAGTTCGACTCAGTCTCAAATGAGTACCTGGTGCGATGTGGCAACATCACCACTGGAGAGACAAAGGCGGCCGGGCGTGGTGCTGGCCATCCACCCCCTCGTGTGCCGTGGCGGGCTTCATAGGTGCTTACTAACAGCACTTGCTCCTTCAGTCGTTTCAAGGCTATACGGGGAATCTTTGTCTTTGTAGCGGTGAGCGCGCTGCTCTACGAGACCCGAGTTTGATTCCCGCTCACGGCGAACACCAGTGACTATTATCTGAAGCGGCCCTGGAATTGTCTGGGATGACCTCTTGAACAGTGTCCTCGACCCATTGTTCCTTTACCAAAAGCACGGCTGGAGAACCGCTGCCCAAGGCGCCGCCAGGGACGGCTCTTGCGAGCCCAGCCTCAATCCCAGGGGTTGTCGTGGAGCTGCATATTTTGCATGTTGATGAGGTTGTCGAAAGCCCCTTCAGGAACGCTCTGGAGCTTATTCGTAAACAGGTACGAACGAGGTCGCTGTATTTAGCACTTCAAGACAATTCTCGCTGATCATCGCCACTATCAGTTGCATCATTTACGCGTGAATTTCGACTCGCACTGACCCACTCGCACTGACCCACCGTTGTCAATCCGGAGCAGCTGAATGAAGCACTGCCGGTAAGTCATGGGGGTTGTTTTACCATACTTCACCACGCCGGACAGTGAAGCCTGGTGAAGGTGGAGGGAGGAGGGAGGAGGGGGTATAGGACCGGTACAGATATCACTCGCGACTGACTGGAAATCGAACTCGGGGTGCCAGGTTCATAGCACAATGGTCCAACCACTGCGCCACTGCTCCATTCCAAACCGAGACTTAATAAAACCATTTATAATGACCTCTAATATTCTCTTTGATTTGTAATCTAAATTGATGCTGAATCATGAGTTGATGCAATGCATATCAGCGTAGGTGTAGATGAGTTATGGCTCGAGTGAGACTCTCCACACCGCACACACGCTGGTTGCAGTGTGGGGAGTGAAATCCGACACGCTGCGCTCTGCCTGTGGCCGCCCCTGGGAGGACTCGTCCAGCCGCTTTCTTCAAGTGGTCAAACGCCCCAACAGGGACCCCGAGCAACTGATTGATTGACAGGTCCAGCGTCCAGGAAGAATTCCCCACTGTTAATCGGCATCAACAACAACGGTATTAGTATGATTATTCTCATCATTAACAGCAGTAGGAGCGTCATTATTACAGACAATTATATTCATCAACAGCAGCATTGGACGCGAGAGACGAGTTTTGGTTAATACCTGATGTTGCTGTATGTAATCTCCAGCGAAACGTCGTACACAAATTGCTCGCTTCATTTGCTGACACAACAAATCAAGTTGGCAGATTTGCCCACGTGACAACTTGAGTTGATTGGCTCTGTCGGGTGGTGGAGGATCGTCGTGAAAAAAATATCTTGATGCCTCCACGATCTAATGCAGAATAAACTCATTACGAATCAGCATTAGATTACTGCATCTATTACGATCGATATGGGTCGCTATCAATATTCTAACGATGTGTAAATTGTGACGCCACGTAGTTTTCGTCCACTCTCACAGAGACTGAGATAATTATTCACAGGCACGGGAAACGGCACGGCAGCGGGAAGGCAGCCCGGGTTGACTCTGCCCATCATCATCCCGGTCGATAAAATAGACACCACTTTATGAGGAAGTCAACAGTGGTTAATCCTATGGATATGCTTACAGCCCGCCGCCATAGGAACGTGGAACTTCCAACTGAGTCAGGGCTGTAAACAGAAGATGAGCACCGATGCCTCAATGTTCACCACCAAATGGTTTGGTGGTGAACATTGGTTTGGTGGTGATGCTGGATGGGCGCGGGATTGTGATCAGGGAGTGGGGGGGGAGGAGGTCTTCTTGCTCTACTATTTAAGACCGTGAGCTGATGGGTTGCTTCACTATCCTGGAAAATCGCCCGGTGGCGCTGGTTGATGCAATCACTGAGACAAAAAAAATGTAAGTACAGAAAATGGCTATTATTCACCACAAACTTTGCTTTTGTGACCAGGACACAAAAGCAAAGTTAATAATCCACTCCATTAATAAGTGTAACAATTTTTTGCATATTATTTTTCCTGGGTAGTAAGTGTTACTTCCCAATTGCTTATGCCTCAAAGTACAGAAAATGGCTATTATTCACCAAAAAATTTTGCTTTTGTGACCAGGCCAGTGATATTTTGAAATGTGCCTATTTTCAATGAGAACACGTGGTGTGCATTTGTGTCATTCCTTCACATAAAGTCCTGGTCACAAAAGCAAAGTTTGTGGGGAATAATAATAACCATTTTCTATACTTTCGAGGCATAAGCAATTAGAAAATAACACTTACTACCCAGGAACAAAAATCGTGTTAGGGGCCGTCCATAAATGACGCCACGCACCTGGGGGAGGGGGGGGCAGACATTTGTGACGATGTGTGACGAGGGGGGGGGGTGAGAAATGTGACGTCACATCAAAATGCGCAACTTTAAATAAATGTTTTATATATATTATTATTTTATTGTTTCCCTTCAACGTGACTTTTCCGAAAGAGCTAAGAATATGGACAACACGTTCTACTTAATTAAATAGACTTTTTAATGTTTTCCCCTACATCAGAGTGCAGCGCCACATTAAATACGCACTACAATGACAATAGTTTAAAGCGATTTGAAGCATGTTTTATTTTTGGGGGGGGGGGCAGAGCTTTGTGACGTCATATTTGAGGGGGGGGGTCTGACTTTTTATGACGTAGTGTGACAAAGGAGGGGGGGGGGTCAAAAATCGTCCAAAATCGCGTGACGTCATTTATGGACGGCCCCTTGCAGTGTTTACCAGCGAAACCTCACGGCACTCAAATTGTCAATGTTGTGGACTTACTCTCCAACACAGCGGTGGGCTGAAGTCGTCACTCATTGGCGCGTTGTTTACGTGGCAAATCCCTTACTAATTGGGTGTGTCGGGTGGTGGAGGGTTACGACGCAACATTTATACCTACGCGGTCTAACCCAAAAAACCTTTATTATGAATTATATGGGTCGCAAAAGCCGACGCGCTAAAATTATCGGAGGGGTTATAAATACGGAGAGGAGTAGAGATCAGGGAGGAGGGGGGGGGGGCTGCCAACATGTTGAGGGGTTTGGATTTGGAGGGAAGAGGGCGAGCAGCGGTTTTACGTAGCCAGCAGCTGAATTGTAGATCTTTAAAGAGGACAGCTGCCGCGATTAATCGTTCTTTTTAAAAGGACATATTGGGTTAAGCGTTCACACACACCTACTCTCACTTAAGGTAGTCAGCCGGTTCTTTTATTGATTTGTGAGCGGTGGCTAACACTCGTAAAAAAAGTCTCAAGAATTAGGAAGTAATGTTTCCGTGGTTATTACCCTTACGAAACATTAATCATTTAAAAAGTCTGCGGAAGTCTTCCCTACACAACATGGCCCAGCCCCCGCGGCAAGTCCTCCCTCCCCACCCAACATGGCCGCGCAACGCTTCCCACCGCTCGTCACGCCGCGAAATCTCGCGCGGCCGACGTCGCCGCCGGGGCGAGGGGGGGGGGCGAGTGCTGATCTCGCGAGATCTCGCCTGGCGCGCCAGCCGCGCAGCACCCGAGGGCGATGGCCATTGGCGAGAGGAGGGCGAAGGAGCCGGGAGCCGCGCAGCTGGACGCACCGAGCCGGGACTACTGACACAGACACCACCACTGCCACCCCGGGGACACAATGCGGGCAGGAGAGACGGGCAGCGGCCAGGGCAGCGGCCAGGGCAGCCTGAGGGAGCTGGAGACGCTGGTGAGCGCGCGGATCAAGAGCAGCCCGTGGCTGGACCGGCACGGCTGGGACTGGCTGCATCTGTCGCTGGGGTTCGCCTGTCTCCCCGCAGGTGAGGGGGCGGGGGAGGTGAGGGGGCGGGGGAGGTGAGGGGGCGGGGGAGGTGAGAGGGCGGGGGAGGTGAGGGGGCGGGGGAGGTGAGGGGGCGGGGGAGGTGAGGGGGCGGGGGGGTGGGGGGGCGGGGGAGGTCGGGGGGCGGGGGAGGTAAGGGGGCGGGGGGCGGGGGAGGTAAGGGGGCGGGGGGGTGGGGGAGGTGAGGGGGGGCGAGAGGGTGAGGGGGCGGGGGGGGCGAGCACCGAGTCCCGCGGGTTCGATTCCCAACCCCGACGAAAATAAATTAATATTTTTATACAAATTATTATCATTATTTTGATTCATGCAAGTTCGCCGATGATTGTAACAGCTAACTAGAATAACTCAATTCTACAGTAATGTGCTGTATTGACGTGTGACCAGTGGTCGAACACTAGCCGGGCCTGCCGCAGTGCGAGTAACGGTCCCGTAGCAGCGCAGCCCGACAAAAGCCCCACAAGTCGGCAGGGGGAGACCTCGCGTGGACGTCTTGTGCCGTGTGCCGTGTTCATCCACTGCTGGACGAGGGGAGCACCACCACCACCACTACCCCCACGCTGTGCGGGGGCCGTGGCGAAGGGTTGCCGTCGTTTGACCATACTTCACCACGCTGGTCAGCGCATGTTAGATTCGCGGCCTTGAGTGGCGAGTCAAAGCGGGACTGGCCCCTGCTCTCCCACCAGCCCTCGCTCGCCCCGACTCGGACGAGCGGCGTCCCAGGCGGGGTGAATGGAGCGGTCAGCCGCAATCCCGTCCCTCTGTATGCTCGCGTGGCGAGATGAGCGGTGCGTGATATCGTTTAATTCCCGGGGGGGGGGGGGGGGGGCGTTTTAAACCAAACTTAAACTAAGCTTTTTTATTTTACCGGGTAAGGCTCACCGAGCTATATAGTTCATTTTCAGAAGCGACCTGGCCATAAATGATAGCTCAACGAAGTGGCTTATCGCGTGGAAATGTATAGCAGCCAGATACTCTAAAACGCACGTTGATTTTAAATGTGGAGGGATACGGGGAGAGAGACACGTAAACTACAAATATACAGCAGGCGTCAGGGTCTGGATAGAACCCGCGACCTCCTGTACACCAGGTGAGGTAGTTAACATCTCCTAGCCACCGCGATACATCAGTTACCATAGCGATAGGTTATTCCCTAGTCATCCAAGTATACAACACTTGGTAAAGTAAGCCACGTGGTCGGAGAACGAAGAAATGACGACGGGCAGCGACGCAGCCAGGACCCAGGACTCCAAACAGCACTGAACCTCTGGTTCGGTGCTCCTTATATCTGCCCCGGCGCGGCCAAGCTCCACCTCTGGCCACGCCCCCTTCCAGAACCCTCGAACTAGGCCCCGGCAAGGTAAGGTAATTTACCCTTTACACCGGGTAAAAGAGTAAAGGTAAAAGGTAAAGATGTCGACATGCCAACGGTAAAGGTAGCTCAGAAGAATTACCCGGTAGGGTAAAGGTAGCACGAAGTATTACCCGGTAAATACGGTGCCTTGTTTACTGCTAAAAGCTCCGTGGCGCAGTCCGTGGCTTCCATTTAACAAGTAATATTTTTAAAAAAACTTTTTAAAAAGCACGCTTTAATGAAATGTACGAGTAATGGCAGACCTCCACGACTCCAGGCAGTGGCCCCGAAGCTTGCCACAACGTAAGGGGCCGTGGCCAATTACAGCCAACGTCAGTTGACCGTGGACAATCAGACCCAAGCCGAAATATAACATATAAAAAATAATGTTAAAAAATATTTATTTATTTTGATAGAATATAGTCTTGTCATCAGTATGACATAAGTTTACCAAGTTTGCAGTCGATACCACATTGGGAAGTGGGTTAACATTGAGTTACAAGATTTGAGGATACAACAACAACACGACAACAAGCGTGTAAAATTGGAATCATCGAGAGTATTCTATATTAAATTTCGATTTAAAGCTTTCGTGACGGCAAGGATTCATCTTTTGTTCTTTCGGTGAAGATACGTAGAATGAAAATAAAATAATAAAATAAAACAACAAAATACTTATTTTTTATTTTTTTTATCATTCTATGTGACTTTACCGAAAGAACCAAAGAAGATGTATTCTATATTAATTAAGCACTCTACCTAGCATTTACCGTTATAAACCTTTTTCATGTGTAGTACCCCAGTAATTACACTGTAATCGGGTAATTTGTATGGGGTAAGGGTTAAAGGTAGGGTAAAGGAAGGCTCGTTGCTTTTTACCTTTTACCTGCTAAAGGGTAAAAGGTAGGATAAAGTGATTGTATTGTGGTAAGGTAAAAGGTAGGGTAAAGGTAGGCTCGTTGTTTTTACCTTTTACCTTACCTTGCCGAGGCCTATCTCGAGCCGGTTCCTGGAGCTTCTCGACTGACTCACCTTTACCTCAAATATGCCCCTCTCATAATAAGGCATTACGTAGTGCACCCATAAGCGCAATTACCACTCCAGGCAGACAGCTGTCACCCTGTCATTACACACGTACGGTGAACCCTATGAATACAATAATAAACAACACCCCCTGAGGCTCATGTCCTGTTCGGGTTAATGTAAGGCGCTGACTTCCCATTGTCAAGCTATCACATGGAGCGGTGGACGTGTCTAGCACGCAATATGATTGGGGGGGGGGGGGTTGTGAAACGCTCGAATTGTATTGGTGCAGATATTTTTTTAGAAAAGCCCTCGAAAAAGTGAGACGTAATTGAGAGGATCTGATGGGGGAGAGCCTTTAGGGGAAACGAAAGCAATTGGTGTAGGAGAGGAGAGGAGAAGGGTCGAGAGAGAAGGCCCAGGAAGAGGATAGGAAGGGCTCGCAAGGAGAGCTCGAACCTTGGTTGGAGTAGCTCCCTGAACACCACGTGTGGTCCTCACTGCACGAGTTTACGGCAAATCAAACTCGCCTCCGTCTTCTTTCAGGGATATATATGGAGTGGATATTTACGTGTCTCTTATTATCCGCAGAATGCAGGAAATAGAAAAGAGTCAGCATGGTGATGCTTGCAGGCGTTACGGTGAGCTTTGCTGTATCATCTGCCGTTGGCTAACCCCGTGCATCTTCATGTATTTTAATTTCTTGAAAGTCGAAGGATGACTATGCAATGTGGTTGGTTAAACCTGTTGCTCTCAACACCTAACCTTATTGCTGCATCGGTCTGTGTCCTAGTGTCGGTTTACATATCTGGGAGCAGTAGTGTAATGGTTAGCGCGCTACGCTCCGAAACCGGCGACCAACATCCGTGAGTACCTGGTACAGTGTGTGAAGATCGCCACTGGGGAGACAAAGGCGGCCGGGCCTGATGCCAGCCACCAACCCCCATGTGCTACTCGATAACAACACTTGCTCCTACAATCTGATTAGGCTTTACGGGGGTCTTTGTGTTTGTATGTATGTGTATACAGCACCTGTCCGTTCATTCATGACTTCATTATTGGGGGTCATTGTGTCTCGTGTCAGATTACCCACTGCATGAGTCACCTTTCATCCGCGCCGTTCGTATTTCGTAACGGATACGAGAGTAGCGCCACTTTGGCCTCACTGGCGTGGCTCGTCAGCATCGTCTCCCTCTTTTTCTGCCACGTCAGAGCCACAGTGAAAGTCCTCGCATAGCCTGCGACACCGTCAACTGACTCGGCGATTTCAGCGATGCCACAGCGAATCATCAGGGTCCTGGCTGTGGCTATCATCTCACCATGGTGGTAAGATGTTAACTACCTCGCCTGGTATACAGGAGGTCGTGAGTTCGATCCTGACCCTGACGCGTGCTCTATATTTGGAGTCTGCGTTGTCTCTCTCTCCGTGGTCGCGTGGATTTTTCTCTGGGCCCTTCGGTTTTTACCTCCACATTTAGAATCAACGTCATGCGTTTAGAGTATTTGGCTGCTATAAGTTTACCTAAGATAAGCCACTTTTTTTAGCTGTCATTTGTGATAGCCAGAATAAATAGATACTTTGCTCCGTGGGCCTTACCTGGTAAATAAAAGGTTTATAGTTTAGTTTTAGTGCCGGCTCAGCGGTCTGCACCTGGCATCATCCCAAACCACCTGGTCCAATTATTTTCTTTGGTGTGGTCCCAATTCATGGAACATGTAGTCACCATTTTGAGTGTTCTTCATAGTCCACTCATTACACGCGCAGCTCCAGTATCGGCACATTGCTCTTATACTGGCTCGCCCATTTGTCACGATATCCGACATTTCGCCTCACATTCTGGGAGCTTCTCTGGGAACACAGATTTAGATTCAGTAAAACCTTGGATTGTGAGCATAATTCGTTCCGGAAACGTGTTTGTAATCCAAAGCACTCGTATATCAAAGTGAATTTCCCCGTAAGAAATAATGGAAACTCAGATGATTAGTTCCACAACCCAAAAATATTAATATAAAAAATTATTCATACAAAATACCTTTTTATATTTTTATTATTAAAATTTATTATAAAGTTATCTAATTAATTAATTAAATGTAATCGTGGCTGGTGTGAGGGAGACGAGAGAGAGGAGGAGGAGGGTTATTGTGTAGGACGACTTTCACTGTCACTAACGGAATCACTGCCATCTGTTGGCTCACTGGAATCTTTTTGTGCGACTTTAACAAGGAACCTATCCAATGACACTTGCTTTTGCCTCCTTTTCAACCTTTTTCTTCATGGGTTCCACAGTTCCATAGTTCATTTATTTGGTATAGCCCTGTGAGCCATTCGGCTCTTGAATCGGGTGCAACCGCAACAAACAAAAACATGAACAAGAAAACATCTTAAAGTGATTATGTGACTGTGCAAACAGAAAATACAGGAAAAAAACATCTAAATATTCCTGAAATAGCACCGTACACCAACACTGTGTGCAAAAATCCCAGTGGGATGCAAGTAAAACAACAACAACAACCACAAGACAACTAAGATTAAGGCCATCAGTCAACTCCGTACTACAATAAACAAAAACATGGCCAAAACCAAAAAAACTTTTCGAAATCACCAAAATAAAAGCCACAAATGCAATATAACAGTGATCAGTGGGACTGTGACTGAATTTTTAACAATAAACTACATAAATTATAACACCAAAATCTAGATCCATATTTTAGGCCACTGAATAGCAGTGGCAGCTAGGGGTGTACAACTCCTCGAGAGCAGTTTTGAGTTAAGATCTCATAGGTAGTGATTCAAGTTGCAGTTTATTGGCAATAGCATTCCAGACCCTGGGGGCATCAATAGCAAAGGCTCTTCCTCCGGTTTTTGTACGGCAATAGGGAATGTGAAGCTGGTAAATGAGCGAAGACCTTAGGTCAAATTTGTTCTTTGAAACAGAGAGGAGATCCAGTAGGTAGTCTGCGGATTTTTTTGTAAGTACATCGTGAATAAATAAGATCTGGTGCACAAGCCGTCGAACATTAAGAGATGTTAAGTTTGACCCAATGTTGCAGTACAGTTACTAAAGAACAGTCACTACACTTGGACACAAAATAAAAAAAATGCTTCACGCACACACACGTGGTCACAGCAATATAGTAAACAGTATACGCTCGCACGGATGTTGACTATACGAGTGAGGCACGCTGACCGAGCATGGGAGACGATTACCCACAATCCCGCAGTGAGAGAGAGAGAGAGAAGAACCATCGGCTCAGTTGTGATCACGTGACGCTCGGCAGACAAAGCGTATAAGTACTGCTCGTATTTCAAGACCTCGCTCGTTTATCAAGTTAAAATTTATTACAAATTTTTGCTCGTCTTGCAAAACACTTGCAGACCCAGTTACTCGCAATCCAATGTTTTACTGTACTTATTTATTTTGTTTATATTTTTTGTGACTTGCTTAGCTCTTTCTCTATTTTGCACTCCTGTCGTGTGTTTTGTATTGTTTGTAACTTGCTGACCCGTGCCCCCAACTGGACATCTGTGAAAAATAGCTTTATAGCTCATTGGACTCTTCCAGTACAAATCAAGATTATGTTTCAGAGCTCAGTTCATGATGAAGCTCCCAGTGATGTGACCCCCAAGGCTCTGCCTAACCTCGTTTCCCCTCCTCTACGCCAGCCATGTTCTCAAGCTATTTTATACAGCAGCAGGCGTCAGGGTCGGCATCAAACCCACGACCTCCTGCATACCAGGCAAGGTAGTTAACATTTCACCACCGTGGCGCCCACTGGCTAGTATATGGGCGCTCGCCATTCAAGACAACCTCCCCACTCGGTTACTAAAGCCACAGTGCATAGAGGGAAATCACATGTCCACGCGGTAGTCAGGCATCTGTTAAACGTTGTGTATTAGTGAGGCATCTGTTACATGGTGATAATAATACTTTCATTTTATATAGCGTCATTCATGCCAATAGCATCCCACAATGCTGTACATGAATTATATATGTCAGGGCCAAATAGCATATAGAGCCACTACTACAAAGCAAATGCAAACCCTACTACTACTGCCAAGCAAAATAAAAAATGAATAAACAAATTAAGAAATGGCACCAAAACACTAAGCACATACAACAACAAAGTTATCACAACACGTTGTGTATTCGTATGCTTTGTGTTCGTAAGGCATCTGTGCGATGCAGAAATGCCGACTAGACCATCGACCACACAATAGTGAACCACTGTCCAGATTTCTGTGAGTAAACGCTTTCTATAGGTGTTTTTTTATCTCCCTGAAAGTCTACGGGCCTCTATTTCAGACTACACAGCAGTGAACCATTGTGAATTCTTCAAATTTCAACAGAGGTATTGAAGCAATCCACCACACAATTAACTGAAGACATTAATTGGCTAACTCACCTGGACACGGACATATAAGTTGCTATTCATCGAGCCATACATAAGGGGGGCAGGGCTAATACCTGTGTTCATTTTCTTACTGAATATTATTTGGGTCACTGCTTAACCGGAGTAGATATCACATGACTAGTAGCCACAGTTATAGTGAGAGAGAGGGATACCGATAGGAACAGTGAGACACATATACTCATGGCCACAGCGAGAGAGTGCTGTGTGCGAGTGACGGGGCGGCCTCTACCGCAGGCCTCGTGCTGGTGTCGCTGGACAGCTCGGCGGCGCTGCTGCTGGGCTGCGGGTGCTTGGCGGTGACGCACGCGCTCTTCACGGTGAAGGCCACGCACCTCGCCAGCCACAACTCCCTCGCCGACTCGCGCCTCTGGAGCCGCGTGTGGTGCCTCTTCTTCATCGAGGTGAGCGCACGCAACGCACGCGCTCACCCGTGTGTGTGTGGTGGCAGCAGCCGAGCAGCTTCTGTTTGGCTGGATAGAGGGGGCTAAACGGACGTGGCACGGGCTGGAGAAGAGATGGAGTGATGTGTTTACAGGGGGATGTGGAGCGAAGTGGACTTGCCGATGGCTGGTACCAGCAGTGTCAAAATCGGCCTCTGTGGAGGAGGCTCGTGAAGGACGCTACTGAGCAGTTGGAGCCAGCGGCCCTCCAGCAACAACTGAGGGTGGAGGAGCGACAGTCACAACAACGAGCAGAGCGCCGGGCTGTTAAAATGCAGCGAGTTGGCACAGTGGGCTGCACAGGTGGTGCATCGGACAGTCGTCTCGATCAGTAAACCCATAAGACTCGGGTTGGTCCCCGTGACCTCTTTCCAGCGAGCCTTCCACACTTGACGTGACGGCCTCAGAGTGCATCTGGCCTGGCAGAGGTGCTGTGGTGAGGTGACTGCCACTAAATGGTGAGTGGCGGGGGCTGTTGTTGTTGGAAGTGGGCAGGTGTGTCGTGTGGTCCAGATGAGCAATCGATCTTTACAATGCAGCAGCAGGAGCTGTTCACTGCTGCTTTGGTCGCGTTTCAGATGATTGCGCTTCAGTCAATCGTTTGTATGATTGACTACAGATGACGATCAACCACACACAGGGACGAGCACATAGACAACCACATGGACGATCAACCACAGTCTCTGCCTTGCAATCGACCACACACACAATCACCCACGTGTGACGAACTTAACTTTTTACACAACTCCACGCACATGCAATCAATTCAGCCACACACACGGTAAATCAACTGGACACTATCAACCATCCACTCAACTACACTATTAGCCTCATACACGATCTGTCAGACGTGTGACCAACTCAAACCTCAACTGCTCATGTTATCAACTGCAATCACACACGCGATCAACCGCACACACACAATCAATTAATTCTCACACGCAATCGCACACGTCATCTACCGCATACACAATCATCGCATACATGATCTACCGCACGCACAATCAACAATCAACCACACAACGATTGGCCACATGGCAGCAGCAGCAGCAGCGTGGGTTAAACCCCAACTCAACACGCGTTTCTCTCGTTTTCGGTTTTAACAATTAGCTCCGATGCTTAATTGTGAATCCTCCCCTTGGCCAACCATTTATCTATTTACGTGATGCACGGCACGTCCAGTACCTTGTTTAAATGTAAATGTGTTATTATTATGAGATACAAATACTAACACACGCCAAGGTGATTTAGGGACGGCAAAAGGTTCGTTTGTGACCAAAAAATCGGTGCGCCCATAATGCCTTGCTCGTCGCGTGACGTCGCCTCACCGTGCGCCCATAATGCCTTGCACGTCGCGTGACGTCGCCACACCGTGGGCCCATAATGCCTTGCACGTCGCGTGACGTCGCCACACCGTGCACCCATAATGCCTTGCACGTCGCGTGACGTCGCCTCACCGTGCGCCCATAATGCCTTGCACGTCGCGTGACGTCGCCTCACCGTGCGCCCATAATGCCTTGCACGTCGCGTGACGTCGCCTCACCGTGCGCCCATAATGCCTTGCACGTCGCGTGACGTCGCCACACCGTGGGCCCATAATGCCTTGCACGTCGCGTGACGTCGCCACACCGTGCACCCATAATGCCTTGCACGTCGCGTGACGTCGCCTCACCGTGCGCCCATAATGCCTTGCACGTCGCGTGACGTCGCCTCACCGTGCGCCCATAATGCCTTGCACGTCGCGTGACGTCGCCACACCGTGCACCCATAATGCCTTGCACGTCGCGTGACGTCGCCTCACCGTGGGCCCATAATGCCTTGCACGTCGCGTGACGTCGCCACACCGTGCACCCATAATGCCTTGCACGTCGCGTGACGTCGCCACACCGTGCGCCCATAATGCCTTGCACGTCGCGTGACGTCGCCACACCGTGCGCCCATAATGCCTTGCACGTCGCGTGACGTCGCCACACCGTGCGCCCATAATGCCTTGCACGTCGCGTGACGTCGCCACACCGTGCACCCATAATGCCTTGCTCGTCGCGTGACGTCGCCACACCGTGCGCCCATAATGCCTTGCACGTCGCGTGACGTCGCCACACAGTGCGCCCATAATGCCTTGCACGTCGGGTGACGTCGCCACACCGTGCGCACGTTGCACACAGCCTTGCTTCAGGACACCGACTCAAAGAATTCACACTTTGGCCGTAAGTATTTTCGACGACAGCAGCAGTAGCAGGATAATCAAGACAGCTGTATAATACCGGTTTCACGAGTGTTAGAAATCATCAGTACAGTGTAGGCATCGCTGTCTCCTGCTGCTGCCTTGCACCTCAAAGGCTCTCTGCGTTGTTGTTTTACGTTATTGCTGTCGTCCTTTCGGTGAGCCACGACATTCAAGCGTGCGAACGCCACTCACCCTGGTCTCTCCCTGGTCAAAACTAAATCCGCGTACAGTCCGTTCCCCTATAACGTTGCTCGGTGTTTTCATCGAGCGAATTGGATATAACGCGATGAATGTATGAGGGAACACATTTTTTTACATAACGCGAATGCCAATTGGATAAAACACGACTGAGTGGACGGAACCACGTCGCGTGGGTAGGAATAAGCGGCTGTATGGCTACGATGCATAGCATCGCGATTCAGCCAAACCCGGTGAGCTCGACTGCATACGATCAACCACGCACTCGTACTCAACCGCACAATCAGCCTCATACACACGCCTTAGTTATTGTTCAGCCTGCGTACGCATCTCACGTGTTATCACGGACTGTGCTTTACCCGCTACATTGTTTATTATAACGTGATTTTTCCGCAATGCGGTTTTCCTCAGGAACGCAACTGCTGCGTTATAGCAGAGCAGACTGTAATTTCTGGCCCGCACGCACGTTTCCGTCCAACGGGCTGTTACCCGACCTCTTACGCCAACCGTCGGGATCGGAGCCCCACAATCTGGTGGAGGTGTGGCAAGGGTGGCACGTGGCATCGCCCCACAGGCACACGGAAATCTGTCAGCGAGTCCGCTTGTTAGCAGGCTCTCTGCAGCGTCATCATGAATGAACACCGCTCCTTTACGGCTTTGGCAAGAGCCTGAGCGATATCACTTTGTGACCGTGTGTGGGTGTACCGACGTGGCGAATTGAGGCCCCGTGTTGTTTGCAAATTCCACCCACGTGGCGGCTGGCGCCGCTTCTTGTACGCGGTGCACCGCTGTCCAGGCTCAACCTCACTTAGCTTAAAGACCTGCTACGATTGGGCACATTCCGGGTGATTTGGTCTGGAGTGTGATACGTGATAGATTTTCTTTTTTACGAATAACGCTCATATATTTTATAGATTCTCAAAACTATTTGCAGGAGTGTCCTACATCGCCAAGTGTGGCTAATTATTTTTTTGAAGGTGGGATGGGTTGTTAAACAGAGCACCTGAAGAAACTCCGCCATGCACCAGAGGAGACGGCAATCAAGATTTGTCCCGACAGGTTCACTCACCCACCTGCTGTACCGCCATGCCCTGGCCATCTCACAGCCCCAGTGGGATTGTGAGTTTCCTAGAAGTTCTTTGTGATCCGCCAACCCTCAGATCTCGAAGAACCGTGATACCTTGGCCACCACGATTAGCCAACCATCCCAATGCAGCGCCCTCCTGAGAAAGTCTTGAGGCCGGGTGAATGAACGATGTGAATGGTATTATTTTTGGAAGCCATGGAATGCCACCAGCTGCCTCGGCTGTACTGGGATATATTTAGCATTGTTAGCGTACACTTGGAGAAACCCAAGCGGAAAGGAAGACTGATTAGATGGAGTGACCGGTAGACTTTCGAACACACAGACAGATGGATGGACAGGTGGACAGTCAGGCACACACACATATATATGGACAGACAGGCACACTGGGAAACAGATGGACAGATGGTGGCACAGAGACGTACAGATTAAAGGACAACCAGACACGCAGATAGATGAATGGCAGACACATTCATCAGATAGACAGACAGACAGATGGACAGCCAGATAGTTACCTAGATAGATAGATGGACAATCAAATAAGAGAACAAATAGACATATGGACAACCAGACATATGCTTGTTGACGCACATGCAATGTAATACCAATATAGAGTTACTCAGAACCTCCATTAAATACATACGTCAGAGACAAAGATCCCCCTTATAGCCTTAATGGACTTTTGGGGCAAGTGCTGTTAGCAAACACAACACATGGGATTGTATGGCCAGCACTACACCCGGCCGTCTTAGTCTCCCTATTTACACACTGCACCAGGTACTCATTTAAGGCTGAGTCGACATAGGGGAGCATCAGGACCAGTTCAGATTATCGCCACTGGTGTTGGCCTTGAGCAGGAATGGAACTGGGGTCGCCGCATTTGTAGCGCAATGCGGCTAACCACTGCGCCACCACTCCCCGTATACACACACACACACCCGTCACAATGCCACAATGACACAGACGTCCCTGGGTCTCCAACAAGGTCGCTTACAGATGTGAGTGAGTACCCCGTGGTGTACGTGCGTGTATGTGTGCGTGCGAGGTGTGCGGCTGCTTCCCAGCGGACGTGGCGGTGGAGGAGCACGTGAAGGTGCACCACGCCTACACCAACGTGCTGGGCCTGGGCGACTCCTCCACGTGGCGTGTCCCCTTCCTGCCGCGCTTTGTCTACCTGTTCCTCGCGCCGCTCGCCCTGCCTTTCATCACGCCGGCCGTGACGCTGGGTATGGCACGGCACGCTGGAGGGGGGGAGTGAACCGGTGAACCGTTATAGTTATTACCATTGGCCTGATTTGGCTGGGACAGTCCTGGTTTGGCTGGGACAGTCCTTGTTTGGCTGGGACAGTCCTAGTTTCACAAAGGCTTTATCTTGGCTGGTTTTTCCCCTTGTTGTCAGAGGCCCCAATAAACCTTTCAGATGTTTCGGGTAAGCGTTCTTTGCACCTGCCACACATCTGCCTTTGGGGTTATGTACACTTCAGTTATTTCAACAACAAGTCGTAAAATGCACCAAAGTCCTGCCCAACCACACGTATATCTCGTATTCAATATAAAAATGTTAACTCAAATAATTTGACGGAGTAAAATTCTTGGCACGTTTTATCACATTTATGTTTGTGTCCCATTTGAAAAATGTTTGAATTCATGGAGAAGTTGTTAACCATCTCAGATTTGCTGATGATTTACCATATTTTAACAACCCAGAAACACAAATTGTTGGAAATATTTCTTGAGTTTTTGAGTCGGGCCTGGCAAGGATTTGGCAAGGACTTCTCACCCAGAAAACAGGAGAGCACGTATTTATATACACGTCTTGACTCGTCACTCTTAACAACAAACAGTTTGAAATATATTTCAGAATGCACAACTTAAATTTTTTTATACATATACATGTTTCAAAAAGAATAGAAAATAAACATTTTCTCGGCCGACTAGTAGTTGGCTTTAGTCTGCCAGTAGGGGGCGATGATCGCAGCCACGCATAATCACAGTTGAGTTTTTTGCGGTGTACATTTTTAGAATTTTTCCAAATTCGGACCCTGTCACCAGCTCGCAGTGGCCTACCACTCGTTCCAAATGACATCCCTAGATCTTTCACGTCCGCTGTGAAGCACAGTTCCACGGGTGATGGCGTTGATGCACCGGCAGTAATAACCGGGGCCTCCTTACGGATGCCGACCGTCGTGAACCTCTGCAACGGGTGGCAAACGACTTAGAGCTGGGCCACTCCACCGCGTCTCCCCCTCCATCTCTGTCACCCCCCCCCTTCTGTCCCCCCCCACCTCCGTCTACCTCCCCCTACTCCGTCCCCCCACTCCTCCGTCTCTCCCCTCCGTCTCCCCCCACTCCGTCCCCCTCCGGCTCCCCCTCCAGGGCTGCTGCTGAAGCGGCCGGCTTCTTCGTGGGGCTCGTCAGTGCGGACGCTGGCGCTGTGCGCGCTGGGGCTGGGCGCTCACTTCTGCTGGCTGCGCTTTGCGTGCGGCTTCAGCTCGGCGGCCACGGCGGCAGCGTGCATGTACACGAGCCGGGCGGCCTTCGCCATCCCCTACATCCACGTCAACGTCTTCCAGGTGAGACTCACGCGGCCGCCTCCTGCTCTGCGTAATGTCCGTAACTCCCCGTGACCTTCCCGTAACTCCCCGTGATGTCCCTGCAATTCCCCGCAACTCCCCGTAATTTTCCCCGTAGCTCTCATTGCTGTCCCCGTGACGTCTCCCCTGTGTGCCGTCGCGCAGCACCTGGGGCTGGCGATGTTCGCTCGCGACAGCTGCCCGCGCCGGCTTGTGCAGATGGCGCACGGCGTGCTGAACCTGCACCCTGTGCCCGTGCTGGACGTGTGCTTCGGGCACTCGCTCATCAGCTGCCACGTGGAGCATCACCTCTTCCCCACGCTCTCCGACCACATGTGCCTGCAGGTGCCGCCCATGAAGGCCGCGGGCCCTCGGCAACCCTCATTGAGCCCTGGTCGCACTGGCGAGGGCTGGCCGGGGGTGCCTTTGGATACCTGAACCTAACAATGAACAGTAACGTAGCAATGCGCCCCAAATAGAATAGTGTACGTGTCTTTTTCACGTATCTGTCTCTCCATATATAAAAGATATATTACGTAACCCATCGTTGACCCCGCAGGCTTCTGGAAGTGTGTAATTTCAGCAGCGTTCATTAATTCTAAGCAAACTTGAGACCAGTTTCGACGCACTTCAGACTTGCTTGAATCAATAATGGTGAACCGCCAGATGTTATAGGCAATATGGGTCCCACAAAGATGCTAATGATTATTGGTTATTTTGAGTTGTGTATTGTATTGCATAATTCGTAACCCGTTGTGGTGTCTTTCCGACCGTAATAGGTGCTCGCTAACAGCGCTTGTGCGGCTTACAACACGGGTGGTGGCCGGGGGGGGGTGTCTCTGCCTTGGTTCCGTGCATGCAGATTAAACCGCTCGTGTCCTCGTACCTCAAGAGCTGTGGGCAGCCTTACCAGGAGGCCTCCTACTCCAACCGCCTGCGCCTCTTTGTGGACAAGTACGACGAATTCTTGGTTCACCTGCCGCCCATCACCGACCTGGCCGGCCTGCAGTGAGTGCCGGCGGGGGGATCGGGGGTGGGGAGGGCGGAGGCAGGGGGGCCCGGCCCGCCGCCTCCGCTCTGTGCGGCCTCGAGCCGTGGTGCTGACTCCATGCGTGAGATGTAGGCGGCCTGGCCGGGTGGGGCAGCGGGTACCGCCTCAGACACACGTCGCGTCCGCACCGCCAACATCCTGGATTTGGAGTCTGGGTTTCAGCCACCCGCGATTTAAACTGGGTTCTTTACAACCAAAACTAAACAAAACAAAATCATACATTTTTTTTAAATTCCCAAACGTATTCCCTAGCGGTGTCATGTCATGAGACAAATAATCCATTTGGCATCACTCGCAGAGCACGGCGGCCCTTTGTGTTAGAGAACAGCCCGCAGAAGTGGAGCAACCTCTAAGGTCCCTGCTTCGAGTGACCTCTGATCCCCACAGTAGAGGCCATCGCTTCCCCACCCGCCCCTGCCACACAAAGCAATGTTTGTAGTGTCACAGACAAACCGACATTTTCCATTCTCCGAGTTGGACTTTAGTCAAAATTTAGTTTTCTGCTGTAACTGGTGACTGGACTCAGACCATCAGCTCGCTACCCTTGAGAACCCAGTGTCATGAATCCTGGATTCGAACCCAAGATTCTCAGTGGTGCCAACTCAGCTCTCTAACCTCTGAGCCACAGATACATGGAATCTGAAGTGGAGTGAGTATATGGTCTAGTACCAATCCCCAATTATAGCACAACAACCTATAACAGTACATTTTGTTTGTCATGTAATGTGTCTTACTCTAGCTCTGAGAATCAAAAACCGTGGTTTTAGTAACACAACAAATGCTTGTTTGCACAGGTTGTAAGACATGTGGCCCTATTGTCGATAAGAGGATACTGCAGTCGGCTCAGAAGTAGTACTTTGACATAATCTTCTGTGGCCATTCTTTGATGCGAGGTGTAGTTGCACTCTACGGATGTAAAGACTCACCCGTAGGGTATAGTGAGTTGATGAGTTCCCACTATTCAGAAGAATTAAAAGCCTCTAATATCTGTCCCTCTACATAAATATATATCCCCCAACAGGCACACAGCATTCTGGAAGTATTTTTTTTCACTAGCATTGGTTTCGTGCAAGCAAACTCTGCATTCAACAGTCAATGTCTGGAATCAGCAGTCAGGCTTGCTCTTAGATCAACGCTGGTGAATTGACAGATATTTATAGGCAAGAACCCTCTCTCTCTTAGCATTGCCATTGGTCGTTGCCTTTGTAGGGTTCATGTGAAAACCATCATGTGCCACGTGCAGGAATCAAAACGCCTTGATTCTTACGTGAATAGACGCATACATCGTCAATTTGAGGATCGGTATTAATCATCGAATTGTCATGCTCCTTTTATATCGCTCTCCGTTCCAGTTAGTACACCTCATGACATGGCCTGTAAAGGATATCCAAATTAAGTGACAAACCAATTGTCAAGTTTCGGATTTTTTTTACGTGTAGCCATTGGTGAACAGGCCAGGACCACCAACGCGCTGGCACTTGACGTTACGCTCTAATCGCGGGCGGCTTAAACCCGGGATCGAACCCAGGTTCTCAGCGGTGAGATCCATGTCTCCATGTTCCGACGCAGCCATTGAGACCCCCCCCCCCAACTCACCTAGACACCTCCCTAACACGCACATCTAATGCATACGCTCTATGACCTTCGTTGGGATAATTTATCTTGTAAGCGGAAACTAAGTCTAATGATGGACTGGCTTTAAGCATTGTCTACAGTATTTTTCAGTAGTTACAGACCGAATTGTCAATCCACTGCTGGATGAGGGCAGGGCCACACCGTGCGAATCGTGGGGGATATTTGACCACAACGTCACCACGCTGGTCAGGTCAGGCCGATGAGTTTGGGGAGCACGGAAGGATAGAAGTACAGCACAACAATGATTTTTTTCCCGGCACTCCCTTGTGCTGCCCAAGTGTGTGGCCCCGCAGGCGATATCCCAAAAATAGTTTCTGTTCGGAATAACTCCCTACGGAGCAGCTTGACGAAGCACGCTCAAAATAACTCCCACAACAGACACGGGCGTGGAGAGGCCTTCATCCAGCAGTGGATTGACTACGGGCTGTGAATCGCTCTCCGACCAATCTCCAGTATTTCTCTCATCTCCTGCGAGATGCACCCCATGTGTGTGCCCCCAATGCGACCTCGCAAAGCAGAGCAATCATTCGCTGGAGCCCAGATGTGCAATGAGGATGAGGGATTTGCATGCACAGGGCACTTGCTTCAATGCCGTAACATCTCAAAGCGCTTTACATAACATCTCAGTGTTGGCCATCCCTACTCTCGAGGCCCTCGACGTAGGTGCGGTCTACCACTGAGAGGGCAGTGGTACCATGTTGCTTTTCCCAATTAAGTAATTTGCAGGTAATTATTTTATTTTAACACTCCAAATTCTGACTAACGACAGCCCACACATGGCCTTCTCATTTTCGAAGATTATTGCGGGAACCTTGAACGCCCACTTTGAAGCCAATGGCACTGCAGTCCTTTTGGTTAATGAGCCCGCAGTGTTAACCAGGGCGACCGCTGGGTTCAAGCCATGAACCTTGGCCATGTCACAGCAGACACAACCCACAACACCCCCCTAAATCTGCTGGTTGTCTGCCCACCTAGGCCTTGTGGCCTGGACGATCCGACACCAGGTAGAAGCTTCATTAATTGGAGGAAATATTTCAAATTGTCTTTCTCCTGTGCTATAGTTTTCCATCTGCTGCTGCTACGTAGTATGAACAAGTACGAGAGTGGCACCACGGTGACATCACCGTAGGCCTTGGTAGTCACTCGACACTACATTTTTCTAAAAAGCGAAGCTTCAAACCGACATGGGACAGCCACTAAGTGTGTCGCTGCACGATAGCGGCTGTACGTTCTGTTGGGGTTTTTTAAACAATTGGCTTTCCTCGTGCTGCTGTCATTTACCATCGTTGCAACTCATGGCCTTGTTCTGCTGGTACATCTGAGCCAACCCAGCGTGGGGTACCGGTGGTTTTTCTACTGGGGCTATTGGCCATGGCAAGCCAGAACCAAACCGTGCTGCACTTGGTGTCCTCGCAAGAAGACGTCTGAATCTGGCTCAAGGCCAAGCAGGGCCCAGGGGTGATGCTGACGTTGCATTCATTTTGCGTGACGTGGGCGAGTACTCCATGAGGAAACGACGTCACCACGTCACCTCGGAGCGCCTCGACTCTCCGCACGTGACGTCAGTGGCACCGCTCGGCTTCTCCCGAGCCCCACGCCGCTCTGACTCAGCACAAATGTGCAGTGGAAAAGAGCGATCGGTTCGTCGAGCAAGTACTCTCCAGCCGCACTCTTCGCTTGGGCTCAGAATGTATTTTTTGTTATTGTCACAACTTGTGTTGAAATGCAAGTCCCGCCTGCATTTGCTTTGCTCTGAAGTACATCTTGCATTGCACACTGGGTGTTCGTTAGATTGCATGTGGACACGGGATGCAGTGTGCCACATGAGGGCGTTTGGATGAGTGTAAGCTAGCTAGGGCACTTTACTGTGATTGTAACGGTGTTTTTTTTATTTTAAATGTGAAATTGTTTCCCTAACCCTGATGCCACTCCGCAGCCCTTAAACCAGGAGGTGCAACGAGTCGCAATTCAAGGTCACGATTCAATTCAATAATTAATTATTCATAATTGATTTGATTTGGTCAGATCAAATGAGTAAAATGTGTGTCGTTCCACCCTCCACCCGACACAGCCAATTCATAGAGTTGATGACGTGATAAACAGACGTGCCAATTGATAATTACTGCTTTAGCCTAGGGTGTATCCGGAAATGTATTCTGCACCCTGGCACACCACATCCATTACACCTATGGATGTGGCTGTGGTTGCTACCACGCGAGCACCGTATTCCAGCAGAACGGTGTGCCGCTGCTGCTGCTGGAGAGGAATGCACACACGTTCAGCACGTGGGTACGTGGGTTTACAATGCGCATTTCACTCACGTAATCTGACCCAGAATATATTGTGAATCTTAGTATCAGTAGCAAAAGCTCAAATGTTATATTAAATTATCACTTATTATTTTTGTAGTGATTAATTTAGCGGCCCCTAGTGGCTGCGAGGATCACGTGAATCCCATTACATTGTATGGACCGAAAAAAAAACATCAAAGTTTACGAGCACGATCTGATGGATCTGAATCGATGGCTGGATGCCTCCGTTACACCTCCACTAAGGAAGGGCCCTAACCCCTAAACCCAGCCCTGACACTAACACTGATACAAACCTTGACACTTTAGATATCCCTAACACTACCAGATGAAGCGCCCATTACCAATCCATAGGCACTACTGAAGGAATGGGCTCGCTAAGCACGGCCAGTTTGAGCTGCTAATGCAAGCACTCCACACTAAACAGTGCTGACCATTAACCTAACACTAACCATAAACTCAAATAATAACTAACCATTAAGAGTGATGTAACTATCCCTCACAAAATGTAAATTTTGCATTCCTGTAATACTTATAATAGCCCATAAAACACTGCTGGCTAACATGAGTTTCGAGAAATACCCCCTTTAATCAACCCTCATTGACCAGCGTGGTAAAGTCAGTGGTCGAACAACCACCATGACCGGCATGGTGTGCGTAGGTCTTCATCCAGCAGTTCATTAAAACATTGTTATAACAAGTAAAACAATAATCAAGACGTGAAACCAGTTGCCTAACACGAACATGGAAGTTGGGAGATGGCGATATTGCCACTCGCAATGTCAGCAACTTGTCACGGTTCATTGCATTGCTGCCATGCAGGGCCACGCATGCAATTCAAGAATCTATGCTTTCTTTTTACACTGTGGTGAACCTAGCGCTCTCTGGTGGCCAGAAAGGGTCACGTAAACCTATTACATACACCATATACGAATATAATAACATTGCTTTTTATACATGTGTAGTGTCAATGATTCAGAGACAGAGTTTATAGGAGGCACTTTATTAACAAATTTCACGGTCTCGTCCGCACTCTCCACAGTAGCTCAGCCTAGCCTGTACACAACACTAGCCGTCTAACACTGACGGCGCTGACTGAGATAGCCAACTACTCTCCTTCATAGCGCAACATCTAGCGGAGACGTTTAGTGATGTGACGACAGCAACGACGAGACGAGTCCACTCCCAGAACCGGCAGCCTCAAGCTCCCGCTCTCGGCTCCTTTTATGCCCCCAGCGCGTCCTGGCTCCGCCCTGACCGCGCCTCCCTTCTCAACCCCCTAGCAGGTTCCAGGGGCCTCCAGATGGGGTCCTCCGTGACCCTTATCCTGGTTCCAACCCTCTGCCCACACACCGTGCACACCCTCACCGGCGTGTGTGCTGTCTGTCCACCACAGTTGCCGCTGCTGTCCACCAGCCGGCGCTATTGCACTACACATGTGATTCAATGCATGTATCGTCGTAAGATTTAGAATGTATTACTAACTGATGTGTTGATGCGTCGTTACGCCACTGGTGAACATGTGAATGCTAATCCCAACCTCGCACACCATTCTTTATGATGATGTGTAACTCTGACTTTAATCTATAACACTAATACAATTATAAGAAGATATGAACGAAATAACTCATGGGAGTTGTTAATTGGCCTTGATAAACAAATATTAACTTGTCAACCTGCATTTAAGTACCCCCTAGCCAACATGGGAAAAAGGCAATTACAGAAAAATCCTTCCCATCATGCAATGTGCCAATAAAATCTTATAATTTTACTTGAATATACAATTTGTTTATTTCGTTATACGTTTTGATTATTGAAGGGTGTGACTGGTACTCAACAGCTTCTAGTAGTCACCTATCCCAATGAAAAACTGTTCATCCGGAAACATTTTAAAATATATAGTCCTTATCAAGCCCCACGGTGTAAAGTGCAGACTCCACTTTGTCTCCCCGGCCTCTATACAAGTGATATGAAGAAGGGTCATTTCCCAAAACGTTGAAATATTGTATTTTAAAGCCACAGTGTTATTGATGTTTGTTGAGTTGATTGTTTTAAAGGCACCCACGTTGGTGGAAGTTGCCATGACGATAATGTGAGCCAATCCAGCCAATCGCAGCATGTGCACGACAAAAGTTACGATTTCAATGTTGCAGACTTCATCCAACTTCATTTCCACAATGTTTCTGGAAATTGTATTGCAGGAAAATGGCCCTGTCTGTATTTGGCTTCACACGTACCCAAAATACTAACAAAACACATCTAACACCAACTCAAACCCTGAATCAAGGTCCTAACTACGAATTAACAAGTTTATCAAAATGTACGAAATGGTATTTTCTGGATGTGCTGTTTTTGGACACCAGCTGGCATAGATTTTGCACATTTTCAAGAAAAAAAGCATCCATCTGGGGTGAGTTCAATGGACAGAGCGCTCTTCCGTGGCGCTACTACATGGGTGGCGGTCGTGAACTCTTATTGGACGGTGCCTGAGGATGCCTCGAGCCTCGCGACGGCTTGAGACGTCATACACCCGCTCAGCCAATGAGCACGCCCGTTGCACGTGCGAACCAAGAGCTGGCAGAAAGGGACAAAGCTTCTGATTGGCTGTCTTGGCCCGCCCACCGAATACTTAGCCAGGCAGACCATCGCCAGACTGTTGTTGTTCAGTTTAACATGTAAGGTTTCGCGACCATTATTTGCCTGATGATGCTCGTAATTACTGACGACACGTCATACTCAGATTGTAAATGTTGTGAATTCGCTCTCCAACACACCTGGTTGTGCTGTACTAAACGAATTGGCATGTTCTGTTTATGTGACAAACCCTATGGATTGGCTATTTCAGGTGGTGGAGGGTTATGACACATTTATAAACAACGCGATCTAACCCAAAAACGTTTATTATAAAAACAGTAATTATTTACGAGTTCAGCATACCAGTATTTTGAAGAGTAAACCCACAACAGTTACAATTCGAGTACGGCGTTTCACCAGTAATTACAAATAGCAGCATCAGGCGGACAACCAGAGTTGTGGAGAAATCCTCTTATGTTGTTAGCTCATATTACAATGCGCTCTGACCTTAACGGGTTGTCTAAATATAAAATCGCTCTGCAGCGCTCTGCCCATTGGACACACCCTAGATTTTAGTTTGAGTGTTTTATTAATGTCAATTTTGTTTTGTTTTTACGAGTGAATGCAATAATATGAATAACGTGTTTTATACTTTTTTTGTGATACTGATAAGTTTTAATTGATTTTTTTAATTTATAAAAGGGGAAATCACTAGTGGTAACGAATCATTGTACTGTCACATCGCATTGTCACTGTGATATCCGTTCTTTATCCTTAGTTCGCCTGAATAATAGCTCAGGGTCAGCCCTAGTTCAGAATAGTGGGCACCTTCGTATACAAAATCAGCCCAGTGTTGTTACCAGATATCTACGAAATAAAACCTCTACATGTGTGTAAGAAAACTTACATGTGTGATCATATATCTAGATAAAAAAGTGAAGTGAAATTTCATATTTAATAGAATTTTAAATTAACCCTACATGTTTTAATTGTGTGGTCTTCTATCAATGCATTGAAGTAATAAATGGCCTATCAACAGAGAGCCATTATTTATACATTTTTGGTGTTAAACCTTATAACTGAAATTTTTAACATTCTGTAAAACTGAGTTCGCCACTAAATTTTATCCTGAATTATCATGAGGAAAACCATCCTGTTTGGCAACGCTTGGTACACCACCATTTATAAACCGGCCTTTGTCACTGGAAAGTTGGGTGTGAGGGTGATGATTTGGCATGTAATAAATTAAAATCAACTCGCGCTTACGATACACATCAAATTGTGTGTGTAAGAATTAATGATATATGTTATAAGCAATTGTATGGTAAAGTATAATGTAGGAGATTAAAAGACAAAACTTTACAAACAAGACATAAAAATAAAAAAACAATAGGAACGAGACGGTAATAAATCGAGTTGCGACCCTGAATCCCGATAATTGGCCAAACTTGACCTCTCCCCTCCTAGCCTCAACCAATCCCGTCTCACTGCATTAAATCTTGACTGTCTCAAAATGGCATGCAGCACGTGGCTCAGGTTCCCGATGTTTTACTTCACGCCATAAAAATATCGCTGCTTCAATACCCACCAGTGCCGAAATTGGGTTTAAGAAGTTGCCTGACACATTCGTGTTCACTCTTGCTTGTATGACTAATATATTCGTAGCAATAAAGTCTATGCTGCATCTAGTTGTCGGTTGTGTTTTCCACGCATATTTTAATGTAAACAAAAGCAAATGGAGCAAAAGTTTTAAAAGTTCTTCAAAAAAAGCATGGAGAGATACATGCTTGAATACACACATATACATGCTTGAATACACACAGATACATGCTTGATTACACGCAGATACATGCTAGAATACACATATACATGCTTGAATACACACAGATACATGCTTGAATACACACAGATACATGCTTGAATACACACAGATACATGCTTGAATACACACAGATACATGCTTGAATACACGCAGATACATGCTTGAATACTGTTGTATACGGGCCCCTTTTTCCATCTTTAATATCAATAATATTTACAGAAAGATACATATAGATTTTTTCGTGGCAAAAATTAATTAATTAAAACACGTAAGCCAGTCACATAGGAAAACCAGATGTCGATCATAAACAAAGGCATAAATAAATAAAGGAATAATAAACTCTCGAGGCAAGGATGTTAACAGCTATCTGCGAAAATCACCAGATCAACAAAGCTGTTTGATGTGACCCTAAAGAAGGATCACCCAGAGGGGAGCCCCTCAGGAGGGTAGACATATTGGCGCCACTCGCTTAAACCAATTTTTCTTCCATTGCTATTGGGGTAACGTTAAAGTTCAAATCCCAACAACCGGAATAAGCTAAAATTAGCGATCCTCACGCTCACTCCAATTAAGACCAGGCCACCAGATACATCAGTAATTCATTACCCAATTATTAATTCGATATCAAATGATTCTCACCTTTAAGGGGGCGGGAACGAATATCTCAGCAGCGTCGAAGACGGCGAAAACCACACAGACAGCATTCAATTATTTTAATTAACGGAAAGCGAGCAGAATAAGCTGACCGTATAGGAATAAGCTCGGGAAACAAACCAAAACTGATAGTGACAAGGGTTAAACCAAAAGCAGCCAGAGAGCGAGAAACTCCCGACCGTCTTTGTCTCTCCCGCAGAGCGAGAGAGAAAGGAATTTCACACCGGAGCGAGGAGATTATAATCGCAAGGGCCATCTGCACACCCAACACGGGACTCAGTAATGGTCCCCCCACCCCGCAACCGCGGGCAGACAAGTAATTGGCCGCAAAGCCAGGCGAGCAGGTTTCTAAGTTAAAAGATATCGCAATACATTTATATGATGATAAGACACACAGAATGACGAAAATTAATAAAACTGAGTAAGAGCCAAGATAGCGGGGTGGATCAAGCTGGTTGAACATAAAATCGAAATGATATTTGAGCGATGTTAACTCAAGGTATAGAGAGATAGAAAAAGATCCCGGCCGCCTTTGTCTCTCCCCGCAGCACGTGATAAAAATATGCATACGCTCAAGAGAGAGCATCTTCACATGAAAATCAAATCAAATATCTTGAATCACAGGCAGAATCATAACTGTGAGTGATACGATACCAACTGTGATGGGATAAATGTTAAACTTTAAAAACTTAACCATTTCTTTGTGCGTCGGATAGCGTAGACAAACAGACGCCTTCGAGATGAATTGAAGCGTCTGTTTCCTTTGATGGTTTATGGCTTGAGGAAGACCCGAACAGAACCATGTCGTAAATGACACACACACAAACATACACACTGACACACGAACCCCCACCACCGACACACAACCAGATCAAAGGTAGCTCCGCCTCGTAAGGAGGAGCCAAGGGGAGAGATTTTGACATAAAAATGAGCCATCACAGCATTGAATTCGACTCATCAGCCCGCGGGACCAGCTCAACCCAGAAGACCAGCTCAACTCATCTCAGCAGAAGACCAGCCACCACTGACGCAGGAGAAGCCTCTACAAACTCGCCAGATTGGTGAGGCTCGCCGATTGGCGACACGCTACCCGCTGTTGGCGGCCAGTGCAGCTACGAGCGAGCCGTGAGTCAGCAATCTACCGACGGCGCACATTCCAGTCGTGGGCTGAGCTCAAGGAGGGCTAACTCAAGCACCATCCTGCGGCGGGGAAAGGAGGCGGTGCAAGCGGTTCAGCAGAGCCCACAATAGCCAAGAATCTGCTGTCTGGGAGAGGGGGGTGGGCGCTGTTAAACCCTAGCACATGGGCGAGAAGCCGTGCATGTGTGACGAGTGCGGCAAGACGTTTTTCTCACGCTCGGCCTACAAGTATATATATTTTTCTATTCCACTTGTGTGTAAATCTGTGTATACCCCGGATATTTTACAGATGGCAATTCTCCTGCTGTGTGTCCTACTGCTGTCCCTCCCGGCCATATCTAGTGCCACACTCAACTCTACAAACGGCTACCCTCGTTATTTTGCGTCAATACTTGTTGCTCGATTTGCCACTACACCTGCAAATGAAACAGCTCATAGACACTTCTACACTCCATCATTGTATCCTTTTAAACCATATCTTTGTCCCATTACTTCACCAGCACTCCCTCCAAACTTCATTCTGCTCTTAAAAATAACACCATCTGCGAGCTGCTGCTATTCGTCCAAGGTTCGCCGCTCTTCATCCT